AACCCAGCCACCAAAGGGCATCCCGCAGGCACTTCGGCCTCTAGGTGGGAGTCCATGCGTCTGTAGCACACAGGGGGTGTGAATGTAAACATTCCCACATTAGTTACACACACACACACACACACACACACACACAGGCAAACACGCACACAGTGTAAGAACGCATGGGCCCCTCCAGCAGACATCCTCAAACACATGAACATTGCCTCCCACACAAAGCTCATTTATTTTGATTTATGAATATTACAAAAATAAACCTGAGCATCTTCACGGGGATTCTGTGATCCTGACACAGTATCATGCGGTCCCCTACAATATTGCTTTTCGCTCCTGGTTACCTGAAATTAGCAGGGTAATTCGGAATCTGCATCTTTATTTAAAAGAAAAAACTGTAGATGCAGAATTATAAAAATTTAATATGCTCCCTGGAAAATGAAAAATGAGAGGTTGTGATCTCGTCTAACACTTTCAAATGTGTTTATTAATTCATGTTTTAAATCATAGGTTTCATTCGGTGAGAGCCATGCACAGCAATAAGCCCGTTTTAAAATATTAATGAATAAACAATATTTCTCTATTGAAATATAACATGCTTCTTTGAACAATGGACCACCAGTAATAAATCAAAACCAGGAGAAAATTGCATTTCATATTTAATACAAGTTGAACTCTGCCTTTTTATAAATGATATCTTTTTTGTTTAATTGGCGTCAGTTCAGATCTAGCAGATTGCTAATAAAATTCTGGATTTCCATATTTAATGATGCGTATACTTTCGGCTGAAATTTTACCAGGAAAATAAGAATCTGCCTTTGATTATCTCTTGAGACGTGGGGAGAGGTCTGGTGTTGAGGGTTCCCAGGAGGAGGCCGCAGGGGGGAGGGGAGCGGCTGGGCCACTGCTCAACCCCCCAGCTAACTAGGAGGAACCCTTGGGCCGGACGGACCAAACATCAGGTATCCCCTTCTGAGCCGGGGGCCCCTGTGGGCACAGCAATAAGGAGAGCCCATTAGGCCCTTGAGTCCCGACATCATGCACGTACTCTTTTGATTCCGTGATGAGGTAGGTTGGAAAAAAATCCCCGATTTACAGGTGGGGAGACTGCGGCTGCGGAGAGAGGCAGTGGCAAGGGCACGGTCGCAGGACTTGGCCTGATTCCGGCGCGCTAGCTCTCTCACACCACCCGAAAACCTGGGTTTATAAGCAGTGGGTGAAGTGGGGCTGCGGGTGGTGCCATGGCCACGAGGCAAGTCACGGACTAAAAGGTACTATCAGCAGCCAGTCTCAGCCCTTCCCTTTGCCAGGCACTGTGCCAAGGCCTTTCCCTAAGGTACCAACTTGCTTTACCCTCCAGAAACCCGGTGTCTGGCAGTTAAGAAAGGGAGGCAGAGAGAGGTGATTTGAGTTGCCCAAGGACAGGCAGCTGCGGTCAGAGCCCGACTGAACCCCAGGCAGCCTCACTTGGAAGCCCACGTTCTTCAGTGATAAGCTAGAGCGCCTTCCGAGCCAGGTTCCACTGAACAGGGCATCAGTTTCTTCACCCCAGATGAAGGGGCGGAGCTAACGTCGACAGGGCAGCTGGGCACCTGGAAGTGAGCTGGGCGGGGCCTATCTGAGAGCCAGTTCCCAAGCACGTTGACTGGGAGGAGGTCTTGTTGACATCCATGGATAAAAAACCCCCTGCCCGGGGGTGACAGAGGCAGCCTGCAGGTTGTGGGGGTTGTGAAGTGCCTGTGGACATAAGTGCATCCTTTCAGAAGGCTGTCGCTGGGATCCTGGGCTGCCAGGGAGAGGAGCCCAGGGCCCAGAGGGGTGCCAGGGGTTGCAGTCCCCACCTGACCTGCACAGCTCTGGGCAGGTGCACAGTGGGCCTACAGGTTGCCTCGGAGGGCAGACACTTGACAAGACAGTTTAACACCAAGGGATTGAAAAATGAATTTGGCCTTGGGACACACGAAGACTTGTATTTTCTGTGTGCGACCCGTGCCCACCCGCTCTGCATTTCGGTGCCCTGGGCTGTAATATGAAGGTAACAGGTCCTCCTTGGCGGCAGCTGAGAGGCTGCCACAGAAGGTCCGGACCACTTCTGCCAGCTCTCACCTCCTGGCCTATGCACAGGCTCTCCACCTTGCCTGGTACACTTCTGGGCCTGCAACCCTTCGTCCAACGAACCCCTCACTTGCTAAGGCCTTTGGTGTCTGTCTGCAGTAGGGGACAAAGTGCTGCCTGAGGGAGATGAGTGGAAAGGCTTGGCTTGGCCAGACACAGTGATCTGGGCTCAGCCTGGACAGGCAGGCATCCACCAGGACACAGGACGTCCCATGAAGAGGGAATGAGGGAACTGAGGCCCAGGAAGGCCAAGCCCTTCATTTGTGGCCACAGAGCTAGTAGGTGGCAGAGGCAGGATCTAAATCCATGCCTGATGGGCTTGGGAACCTGGGATGAGATCCGCTCAAACTCCAAGTGGGTCGTGTCGGCAGAGGGGCTAAGGACACAGGGGCCCGAGCTTGTGAGTTGGGCAGAGCTTGGGGGTTGGACAGCACCCACCTGGCACAGGGTCCACACCAGCCCCAGGCGGAAGGCTGCCCATTGTCAAGAATGTATCACAGGCTCTGGGCCAGCACCACCTGTGGGTCACAACAGCTGCACTGGGCGAGAGGTGCCGTTTGTCTCCATTAGTGATGATGCCGGGCCCAGCCCCAGCATCTAGGCTTCTTCCTGTCCCTTGTCCCACATACTATCTGTGACACACATCACACACATTCCATAGGACATATACCCAACAGGTCTAAGCAACCCCATCGTGGGTGGGAAAGCACAAGGTGTAAGGTGGAGGAAATTTTCCCTGGTCACAGGCCCAAGGGGACCTCGCACCGGAGACTGGACAGCCTACATTGCCGGGAGCCTCTTTCTGTTCTGCGACAAGTCACTGCTGCAGGGATCACATGGACTCTTCCCAGGCCAACTGCAGCTCTGCTTTGATTTCCCATGAGACAGGAGGTCTCACCGATTTGCACCTGCTGACTCCCCGTCTGAAAAATGGGACAATAACCTCACCTGTACACGGGGCTGCGTGGGGATTCAATCGGTGCATGAAAAGCACTTCTGGCAAAGGACAGGCACACAGGAGATCCTGTGGGTGCCAGTGAAGGCCCCTTCTCATCACGCCAACACCCATCTGACACCGAAACCACCACTGGGGGCGGGGGAACCTCATTCCCACCTCATTGCCCACACAGCGTGCGTCCTTCCCAAGAATATCACCACTCACCTGCCCCTGCCCCTCCACCCCCCACCCCCGGCTGGGGAACCTCCAGGTACACAAGATTCTATCCAACAGGAGCCTGGACTTCAGAAACTGGTGCACACACACATATAGGCACACCAGCATGCCTGTGTTCCTGCACTTTTAACTGGGTGCGGGGATAGGCCCCTCAGCCTGGGAAGGGGCAATTCGGATAGTTCCCTAGTATTATTTGACCTTTGAACCCGTTTGGGAACCCTCACTTGTCAACATTGGGGTTCAAAGGCCTCTTTCTCAGCTTCACTAAGTATGGCTTTTGGAACAAGGATTGGGATCTTGGGATCCAATTTCATTCACCTCTAGGCCTAGCCCCCTGGTAAAAATCTATCAAACCAAGTATTGACATCACTTAGCTGAGGCAAGACAAGACTCTGGGTAGCTTCTCATGAAGTGTCTATGCCTTTACAAGCCCCATCACCAGAGGCACCCATGGGGCTGCTTTATCTCACCTACCAACCAAGGAACCTTGTGACTTCCCATGGAGGTGTGTGCAAGTACGTCCTAAACAGGCAGGTTGCAAGGCAATGGCTGCTGTTAGTCCTCCTCAGAATAAATGCCCTATTCAGACACCGACAGCTCCTCCTCTCAAGGGTTGCTAGTCGCCCTATGAAATCTCCAACAAGCAATGGGTGTGTGTCACTCAACGCACTCAGCTAAAACCCGAGCTCTTTCTTGGCAAGAGTGTATTTGTTTAGATATAAAAGGAAGATGAATTGGTGTGTGCACGTTTCCACAGGATAGTTCTGCAAACCACACAGCATATTGTTCTATGTACAAAGATAAGAAAGGCTGACCCACAAGCTAATTGAATAATGCAAATAACTACTTAGCCATGGGAGAGATTCCTCCAGACAGGCTGAGCGCCTGCGTGAGGGAGGACAGCTTTGGAGGGCAATCTATTTTATAAAGTTTACCCTCACAGTATAACTGCCTCAAGATTAATGGGAACTGTGGCCCTAGACCTTGTTTTGCCTGGCTCTACCAACCGAAATAGTAAAACAGTTGTATTTATCATAGACAATTTGCTGCAACTGATTAACATTAATCTGATTTCCTGAGTCAATTTCCTTGAGATATAGTAAACAGGCCAATTACCTGCTATTGACCTCTTTTATTATAAAGATTTAGATCTCCGTGACAAATGTGTACATAAACATATGGAATTTGTACAATTTTAATAAGACAAAACAATAGTTTAATCTGGGTAAATCTTTTAGTTGCTCTTTGAGTTTGAAGTTCCGGGACAAGGCGCTAGTTGTAAAAACGGAAAAAAATCTCATAGGGGCTATCCGTCAGAATTGACTCCAGGGCAGCCAGCTTGGAGTTTTGAACAAGGTTCAGCCACGTCAGCAAGTCAGAGAGGGTGAGTGCTGAGACCTGGGTTCGAGGTGGGGCCCCTCGCTGTCCTGGGTCTATGGCTGAGTGGGAGCATTGGCTTAATTTTTCTGAGAAAATGGGGACACTACATTACTGGGAGGGTGACGTGAGTTTATGGACCCAGTGAGGACCAGTTTTAGTGACCGCTCAGTTGCTGCCACCCAGTCTGTTCAGTCAACAGTAGCTGTGACTGTCTTCTCCCCTTCCCGTCACCTCCAATCCCCTTCTGACAGGTAACAGGGTCACAGGACGAAGCTTGGCACCTGACAAGCAGGCTTCCTGGCCTGTTTAAGTGGCAGAGTAAGAAACTGCACCAACATTAAATCATGAAAGCAAAAAGTTTATTCATGTTTGAAACTACATATAACTACCACGAGGAAGACTTATCAATCCAGGGTGTAATCCAGTTAGAAAGGAACACGAAACATTTTTAATACATTAGAATCACCGCCACAAATTGTTTTCATGACTCAATCAGTTTCAGAATCGCATACAATACAAAAAGAGAAAGGAGAGGGGACCCCATTACACAGGGTGAAATATACAGTACTGAATACTGAAATCTGAATGCATCACAATTAGTCGCCGCTTTTTTTTTTTTTTTGCATGGATTAGTAACAAGATGAAGAACATTCAAAATGTTTCTCAGTATATTTACAACAGTTTTACCGATCCTGTGTTGAATTAAGACCCAATGTTTCCCACTCTCGGGTTTGTTCTTTTTAAAAGTTGCCAAGGCAACCCTGATTTACTTTTAGAAGATTACAATGTACATTACATTTTATGAAGGGAAACAAAGAGTTAATTACAAGATGCAAAAAGATAAGAAAGAGACAAACTACAGCGTGAGTATTGTTCAGAGGTAGTAAGTGAGCACTCTAAGCTACAGAACATGTTGAAATTCTATTGGTTTGTATGAGTTGGCATGAGGTAATAAAGCTGTGTTTTGATTGGTGAGATGTATAAATACTCTTTTGCTACACTATGTACAACACTCTAGAGAGCAGGGCCTTTTGCTGGTGCCCAGAGGACAGAGCAAACCGCGGCAGTCTGTGCAGCACCCAGTGCACACCATAAAACCCCAGACAGATCTCGGTCTCACCTCGATCAGCAAGTCTCCCCATCTCTAAGAAGAACCGCCCCCTCGTTCTGTCACCGAGCCAGCTTTGGGCATGGGTGTTTTCAGAGAGAGAAAAAAGATGCTACCAGTCTCTAATCGAATTATAACAGAGGAGGTTGCAATATGTATGTGACAAAGAAGATTCTTAAACACAACCCTCATTAAGAAAGATGGCTAACCAGCTCTTTTATTCCAACTCCATCAGTGATATGAAAGAAAGACAATCAAGTCTGCGATGGATATGCAAGAAGTTAAATTTAGGCGAGGTGAATCTTTGCATCTGCTTGAACAACTGAGGTTTAGCATATATTGTACTTTTTTACCCTTAAGGCCAAGTAATTGGCAACTGTGAAACCAGTCATGTAAAATATTGGTAATAAATTATGATAAAATAGCTACAGGACAGTTAACAATGTTAAATCTTGGCCTAATTGGATAAAGTGCTTTTTTTTAACATTGTGTGTTTTTAAGTATAAATACAAATGATTATGATTCCTTAAAAAACAGATTTACCAAGTTCTCTAATAAGACAAGGTTTTACAGTAAAGCTGTAGATGGTGGGCTACAAAAACGCTTTCCTTTTCCTCCTATTGCTCGGAATGCACTTCTCGAGGCATGTCAGCTCAGGGAAAGTGTGGCCAGAGATTAGTTAGAGGTATCAGAGTGCACGCTTCCTGGGCCTTCTGTAGGAGAAGTCACAGAAGATGGAGTTGTTGCGTCCTGCCAGCCTCCATTAGCCTGAAAGGAGAAACACAGTTCAATGGGTGCACGTCTACATATTCATTCTATGCCCCAATTTAAAAACACCCAGATGACAACATGAGAGCAAAGATGCATTAGCAAAATGTATTTTCTAAACCTACTTTGGCAGGAGTTTGAAGCATATGTTAAAGTGGAATTAAATGCATGTAAAACAAATCCATCCCACCAAGGGGGGGCTTGGAAATAAATCAGCATGCTGAAGAAGGGTGTCGACTAGTCCCAAGCTGGCCACCAGCTCAGCCTTTGATTTTCTAGGAAAATATGGCAATCAGAACAGAAATCTTCTGAGAAGGGAGCAGGGGTGAAGCCCAATGCATTATCAGCTCAGCTCAGCTCTCATTTCCTTGGAAAAGGAGCTGCCCACCCTTTTCCCATATCCAACTGATAGCCAGTCAGTGTAACCCTTGGAAAACGAAGGCCAGAATTTCCCTTCGAATAGGAGCTTCCAGAATAAGAATGCATGAACTATGGAGGAGCACACACTATTCAAATCTGTATTCCAATTATTTATAACAGTGGCTCCTATTTGGGATGTTGCTACTGCTTTCCACACGCCACTGGACCTTCCTGCCTCAGACCTGCATCAGCAATAACAGTACTCAGAAACAAATTTGCCTTATGTCCTGGCCTATAGAGGCAATTGCTGAAATCAATGTCTGATCAGATTTCGGCTGTGGCAGACAGCTTGTCGCTACATATTTTTATGTCAGTCAAGAAGAGGGAGGTGCTGGGCTTGTGAGTTGGGGAACACTGAGTGGAAGTGACGGGGGCGGGCCTTCCTGGGGGGAAGGCGAGGGTGAGCTGGGCTGACTCCAGTGCCTGTGGCACAGACCAACCTCAGCCGCTCCACTACCCCAAGCTGGGCCTCCCACCCTACTATCCTGTGAGGAGGGTCTGTAAGGCGCCTACTGGCTCCCTCACATTCATTTGTAACTGGTTCTGCAAGACCAGCCAAGATGTGGTCTTTCAGGCTGCTGAGGACTGTCTAGATTCCCAGTGCAGCCTAGAATAGCTTGTAGAGAAGCCTTGTGCTGAGAATTCTTTTTTCTCCAAGGAGCTTTGTTCTTAAAGAAGTCCCTCACTTCTGACACATTGCATAGCTCTGCACAGAAAGTATCTTTCATCTGTCTAAGACAGTGGTTCTCCACCTTCCTAATGCCACCACCCTTTCATACAGTTCCTCATGTGGTGGTGACCCCCCAACCATAAAATTATTTTCGCTGCTACATCATCACTGTCATTTTGCTACTGTTATGAATCGGGCGACCCCTGTGAAAGGGTCGTTCGACTCCCAAAGGGTCGCGACCCACAGGTTGAGAACCGCTGGTCTAAGACCTCTAAGAAAAGGGGGGTGAGTAAAAAAAATAAATAAGTAACTCCACAGTGAGGACCAGAGTCAAAAGATAAAGGGCTTCCCAAGCTTGCATGGCATAGCTGATTGGGGGGGGCGGGCGGGTGTGTGTGTGTATGTGTGTGTGTGTGTGTGTGTGTGTGTGTGTGTGTGTGTACACAATGGGCGGGTAGGGGGCGCACCCGTGAGGATGTTTGAAAGCAGGGCTTGTGCAGGAAGGCCTGCCCGGGCATGTTTGTGTGTGCTATAATCAAAGCTTCTTTTCTGTTTAAAAGGTAAGCTGATTCCCCCCCTCAGGTATGAAGATCTACTTAGAAAAAGAAAAACTCTTCCACAGATACAAGTCTAAAGATATTCCATCTGAAGTAAACATCATTTCTCTTTTATCCAAATTTATAAACAACAAATGTACAATATTTTTACCCAGCGTGGCAGCTGGAGGAGAGGTTGTCAGCAAGCATTCTTTTTTTTTCCCCCCCCCCAAAATAAATTAATCCTTACTCTGGTGGTTTGCGATTATGCACTGTATTATACAATAGCGCCTTATCAAGCCTCATCTGTGAAGATGGAATTCATGTCTGTAAAATGTTGCAAGCAATCACAGTTTCATATTTTATCATATTGATAAGGATATCGCACATTCTCTGAAGCATTTCAAAACACTTAAATGAAAAAGGAGAAATGCAACTAAAAGGCTTTTTATATGGTTTGTTGTGGGTTATTATGAGTTATTTATAAACCCCCAAAGAAATATTTGACATTTCAAATGTAAAAGAGTTGAGTATTTAATGGTCCTTTTTTCCCTTTACAATTGAACATCCTCAGTCACTTCTTCAATCATTAATATTTACTCTCCAGGCAAACGAAAGCCCCAGCAGTAAGGGCCTCGTCCCTTTTGTCCCTGCGGCACTACCGTGTGTTGGGAAGTCCATTCCCGCCCTAAGCCGGGGATTGCAGGGTTTTCCTACCGTTCCGCTCCACTCCTGCTCCCCTGTGGGCACCCTCTGGCCACTGGAACCCTTTCCCAGAAGCTGTGCAACCTGCCATTGCCCATTCATGTCAGGTTGAAGAATAAGGTCAAGTTTTAACAAATTGGTTCTAACCATTAAAATCATATTTCCTCTATTTATCTAATTAAGAACTGAGGGGCCAGTGAAAACAAGGAACATGCCTTGCATCCCACACTGCCAACGCAGCAAGATACCTTGGAAATAGAATCATTTGTTCAGCTTGGTTTGTTGATCTGTCTGTGGATAGCCAAGGTTATCACCTTCACTGCGCTGTGTTTGAGAATTTTTCTTGCTGTGTGGCTCTAAGATAAATGACCTGTTTTTTCACCATCTCCCTGGGACACAGCATGGCCAGTAGGAAATGGCATCTTAATGGGCTGGTGCTTAAATCCCTATTGAATGCCAGTGACTCCTGGGCACCTGTGAGGACTTCTAAGAGCATCTATGGAGCATCAAACATTTAGGTTCATAAAAGAAATGTGCTGCAAAAATGCTGCCTTCCTATCTACCAACACTGAACAAGATGAGAAGCCAAGTCAAATGGCCATTAATTTATTTATCAGTCACTCTGTTTGCCTGACACTGTTCCTACAGCTTCCCCAGAGTACTCACATTTAAGTTATGTGGACTATACAGCGAATTTCCTCCAAGGCCATCACTGTAGCCTCCCGTCTGATTGATAACATGACGGAGGGTATCCACCTAGAAGTGAGACGAAACAAAATTCATCATCCCAAATCTATTAAAACATCATCACTTACAAAAGGAAACAATTTGAATTATGTGTGCCACAAGGGTTTAGCATCTTCAATGAAAGACAAATTTATCAATCAAGTGTGACTGGCAGAAATTTCAGCAACTCCTTGCATATTTAAACCCACACACCTTTGTTTTTCATGCCAGCCAAACAGTAACATCTTCATGGCAATGCCAACCTCCCATCTAGAGCAACCAAATGTGTGTGGCTGTGGGTAAAAACCTACTTACAAATGTGTATACTGAGCCTGCCTCTCCCTGTCACACACATACATGCATCCTTATGGCTCAATTAGAAGGGTGAGAGAACAGTCAACCCAAATTATATTTTAAGAACTCAGGTTTTTTTTATTTTTACTTAAAAAAAAAAACAACCCCCAAACACAGAAATGAGACACATGGAAAAATACATAGAAATCGTCCTAAACCACTCACACACTCACATACAATGTTTCTGTCCTATTTTAATACAATGATAAAATGTACCCAATAACCCTTCTCCATGAGCTCAAGCCAGAGCCGAATGCATTCACAAAGTTCATCAGGTTTTGAATCATCAAAAGTCACTGTTCACTTGACTTCTCATTAAATTAAGTGGTGGGGTCAGATAGGTCATGTTTGGGAGCACCCAGCACAGGTTCTTGCACAGATGTGCAGACCACTTCCACGGGGTCAGAGTAAGGAGTTTTGAGCCCAAACCCTACCCTGCTAGAAAGGCCCCAGCTGGGGCATTTCTCCTACCTGTGATTGCACATTGGCTCCGACTTGGGACCCTTGGTAAGAATCCCCATTCAGACTCTGCATGTTCATGAACATGTCCCCAGAATTTGGGAGGTTAAAAGAACCAGAAGAACCTGAAAGGAAAGAGTTAAGTAGCTGAATAACAGAGAGCTACACACATAATCCTCAAAGACTAGAGGAAGGGAAAGGAAAAAAGTTCAGAAGGGGGAACTGTGCAACCACATAAAGCATTTCCAGGTCTAAGAGGATGGAGACTACCTCCAGAGAGGCATGTCCTGTGATGAGCTTTGCAGCTAGGAAAGTCCTATCAATGGCTAAGTCCATATAAGAAACAAACCTAAGTAAACAGAAAAGCACCCACTAAATGCCCTTGAACCTTTGTTTTTTCCATTTATCTCCAGGACTTGATCAGTACATCACTGTCCTTGGTAGGCAATTATCCAGAGAAGAAAGGCTCTTCTGAAGCTTTTGCGTAGACAAACGTTTCACTGACCTAACCTTCCTTTCACCCATTTCTGTGTTCCATTAAAAGGAATTGGGGGGAAACAAAACAGAAACCCTCTTATGCTGAACGTTTAAAGATATTCTTAAGTGGTCACTCTGGAAAAGCCCTTTGACCCGTGGTGCTAATCCATCTGTTTGGATTTTCATGGTTATTCAAGTTTTCTGTAATTTTAAGATGTTTCTAACTCCACCACAAAAGTCACATAAAATTTGGCCAAAATGTACTTATTGTCTGAGGAGCCCATAATATTATATCCATGTGTTAAGCACAATAATCTTAACAGCTAACAACCTTCTAATCCTAGTGAGCCAGTACTACATGGACAGAAGCAAAGACACGGTGGAAGGGAAAGCGGATAGGGACTCTGGCTACATTAGACAGAAAGCCCTGCTGTGCTAAAACCCATCATCCTAGTTTCCTTATGCACTGCAAGTTACCTGGTACTCTTCTGTTAGTTCAGTCTGGGACAGACCACTTTTGGTCCTAAAGTGGTATGTGTAACAGTACCACCAAAATAACCATTAGTGATGGCACTTTGCCTGGTTATTGAATTAAGAAACCACCATTAAATGTAATAGTTCCAGAATCTACCAGAAAAGAATGGTGCCCTCACTGTTGGGCAATGGCTTCTTAGCTCTGGCCACTTACTCAATTAACCATCCCAGGTACAAGCCCACGTTTTAAAAACAAAAGAACATTTTTCCTTTATAACTCCACTGTGCCCTCCGTATGGCTGTTTCCTGGCCTGTGGGACAGGGCTTTTTGGCTTACGACTGCCTGGCTTAAGTAGGGAGCAAGTACCCGGTACGCACCAGAATTTGGCGTGGTGGGAGAATTGGTCTGGTTGTTCTGCACGGCTGCGGCTACGGCATGTGCGGCTGTCACTGCTGTCTTGGCAGCGTAGAGGTTAGCTTCTTCCTGAAACTTGCCTATGTTCTTCTTGTACCTGATTCGTTTGTTGCCAAACCAATTGGATACCTGCATGTTGTAGGGATATGGTGGTGAAGGGGAAGAGAGGGCAGAAGAAGAGAGAAAGAAGAGGTCAAGCTTCTAATGTTAACTGTTGGACACCCTGCTTGTAATCACATCTTGCGGATAGTGTACTGCCAATGAGCAACAATGAACAGTCTTATAAAAGGAATGGTATTACGGTCACCCTCTCCTTTGGCAATCCTTGCAATAACACTAAAATGACTGACAGCACTGCTCATAAAGAAATATCCAATTGGTATGTGATGTATATACATGTTTAGGCCCCCTCCAAAAGTCACTAAAAAAAAAAAAGAGAGAAATTTGTTAAATAAGAAATAAATGGGAATGAAAGGCGTTTATTTTTCATTTTGGGTCTAGAACAATTTTGGTAGCTTTATTAGTACAGTAAATATTGTATAGTCTGCTGAGGAAAGTAACATCAAGTAATAATGGGTAGAACATCCCTTTGTCTCCTGCCAACATGGCTGCTCAACTTCCCCCAGTTAAGCCATGAGAAGGTCACCATCGAAAACTCAAAGAAATTCCAAAAGGGTTCAACGTAAAGCAGGTGCATTTGATCAGGTAGAGTATATTTATTTCTTTTGAAAATGAAAAGAGACTTCTAAAGATGATCTTGGCAATGGGCAGATTTCATCACCTTTCACAGACAGCAAAACCTCCCCCAAGACCCATTGCTCATAATTGCTAAGTGTTCAGGCATCTATAGTTGAGTTATATAAAACAGCAGCTAAAACCTACAATGTATAAGAAAGCACCTAAGTGCTAAAGAAAAAGATTTACGTCTCTTTTGTTAAAGCAGCATTTGAAAATACTATTTTGATGCTTTCTTAAAAAGCTGTCAAAGAGGCCTGTGGTATGAGGCTGGGCTGGGTCCCTGTTCTACTCTGTACTTCATCATCCCCTAACAGCTACTCAAGGGTGTGAGGGAAAATAAGGAATGAGATATAGCACTGATGTAGCTTCAACACAATTGGCTAATGGGCAACACGTGTTGGCCATCTCCATCTCTGCCAAGCCTGTAACTGCTTTAGAAGCAGACCTTTTATTTTTCAAGTTATGGTACTCATCTCTCCAGAAGCCAGAGAGCACTGCAAGAGAGGGAGTCAGATGAGTGAGGCAATGTTTGTCTTGACACTGACCAACGCCATTCCAGTCTGGAAACAAAAGCATTCATGTGTACAAACATTAGCACCCGCACACTCCCACGCAAGTGAGCACATACTTGCAGGCACGCACATTAAGGACATAGTTTTATCAAACAAAACTAACCTAAACCCATCAGAAAGTAAATATGATTTCCTAGCCACTTCTATTCTATCACCATTTTCTTTTTTGGAACAACTGTATCCCTTTCCTTCCATCATTTCAAATAACAACTACCAATTAATGAATACATCCTATTGTGCCAAGCATTATGCAAAGGCCTTAAACAAATTTTTTCACTAACTGTTAATCTCAAGGACTGGGTGATTGATTGAAATGGAAGTTACATAGATGTAAATCAAGAGCCAATAAACTATGGCCCACAAGGCAGATTGAGGTCACCCTTCGATTTTGAGTGGTCAACATTTTTAATGGTTAAAAAACGTAAAAAGAGTAGTTTGCACATGTGAAAATTATGTGCTATTCATTTAAATTCCATAAATTAAAAATTACAGAAATAGGTTTTCTCCTGTTATATAAATTCCTGCATATATTCTTGATTTGCCTTTTGGCCCATAAAATATTTACTACCCAGCCCTTTACCAAAGTGTGTGCCAGCTCCTTATGTGCATAACTGTCAAAAGTCAATGAATTGGATGCTTCACATCTGTGCATTTTTAAATGAAAATTATACTTAAAATCAAATCTGACCTTTATTTCTAACTTGCTGCATTCTACCATATTAATTCTAGTTGCTGCACTCAAGAACTTTGTCCCACCTCTCAACTGGCATTTGTTATCTCTAATTCTAACCCTCCTCCCTCAACCTCTTCAGTAAAGGTCACTATCACGATCATGTCACCTGCCAGCTGAGTGTGACACCAAAACAGGAGACTGAGATTTGGTTAACTTTCAGGGAATGCCAGCTCTGTGTGCCATGCAGACCTCTCCGCAGGACACTGAACCCACTAAGCAACCCCATGAAGTAGTTCTGCTAGCCTCATTTACAGATAGGGAGAATGAGGTTCAAGCGGACACAGGATTGGTACACAGACGCAAAACCAAGAAATGGTGGAAAGAGTATTGAAACAGAAGTCTTCTGACTCATGAGTGTGTTTCTCTTTTTTCCTTTCTCATCATGCCCCAAGGAGTCTTGGGAGAAATCACAAGCTCATCATGGAGATTGCAACAATCAAGGGAGAGAAGGTTTTATGAAAGCTGCTTTAAAAAAATCAGCAGTAACAATTAAACACTTGGAAGGTGGGGAAGGCATCTTTCCATGGTCATAAATTGCACGAGAAACTGGTGACTTAAAGGAAAGAGCAATTAATTTCTCCACTGCTTACCTTTCCATTGTTCTATAAATCTGTCTCCTTCCTGTGTCCCACCTCATCCATCCCCTCTGAGACTTTACACTATCAATTAACTATTTTTCTAGGGCCTTTTAAAGACCTCATTCTCTAAAAAATGACCATATTCCTCCCAATATGAAACAAACCCACCTTCCCCTGATCTTGTTGCCTTTCTTTCACCTTATCAGACTTCTTAAATGAGTGTCCTACATTTTCCTTCTTAGCTTCTGCTGCTAACTGCAAGATCCTTGGTTCAAACCCATTAGCTGCTTCATGGGGAAAAGGCTGTTTGTTCCTGTAACAATGTACATTCTTGGAAACCCTCTATGAGGTGGCTATGAATCAGAATGGGCTCAATGGCAGGTGATTTGGGTTTTGCTAAGTCTTAGCAATCTGCCTTACCCTTGCACACCCTTATGAAAACAATCACAGGGTAGCTCTCTCCCAAACCCAACAGCCGTGTTGCTCTCCTCAACTTGAATGACTTCTCAGCACTGTCTGCTAGTTACAATTATGATCCTTCCTTCACTAAGTCTTTCTTGGGTTGGTTCCTGTGACATTGCCCTCCTGCTTCTCTTCCAATAGAGGAGCCCTAGAGGTGTAATGGGGTATGTGTTGGGTTGCTAACTGCAAGACCAGTAGTTTGAAACCATCCGCTGCTCTGCTGGAGAAAAGACAAGGCTTTCTATCCATGTAAAAGGGGGAACAATGATCTACATATAACCCCCTCCCAGGGGGACGGACAACAGAACATCGGTCAGTGTAAGACATGAAAATAAATTTATAAATTATCAAGGGTTCATGAGGGAGGAGAGAGTGGGGAAGGAGTGGGGAAAATGAGGAGCTGATACCAAGGGCTCAAGGAGAAACAAAATGTTTTGAAAATGATGATGGCAACATATGTACACATGTGCTTGACACATGGATGGATGGATGGATGGATGGATGGATGGATGGATGGATGGATGGATGGATGGATTGTGATAAGAGCGGTATGAGCCCCCAATAAAATGATTTTTTAAAAAGTTGCAGTCTCAGAAACCCACGAGGGCAGTTCAACCCTGTCCTACAGGATAGCTATTGACTTAAATGGCAGTGAGTTTTTGCTTCTTTCAATGGAGTCTGTATGGTGCAAATAATTGATGTGTTTGAACAGGCTGGAGTTTTGAGTCCACCCCCAGATGCCTTGGAAGAAAGGTGATCTGCTTCTGAGAAATCAGCAATTGGAAGCCCTCTAGAGCACAGTTCTACTCTGATCCCCAAGATGTCGCTGTGAATTGAAAATGACTTGTTGGCAACCGGTATTGGGCTGCCTGAAATAACTGTTCCTTCTCTGACACATGTGTCTGTGGTTTCTCAAAAGACTAGCTCTTGGCCTTCTACTCTCTTTTTGCTTGAGCAATCTTATCCACATTCATGAGTTCAATAATCATTTCTGCTTTAATTACTTCTAGATCTCCATCTCTATTGCTAGTTTACATGTAGTTCTTACTTTTTAGGGCATGTCATATAATGTTCTACAGCAACCTCCAACTCAATAGGTCTAGAACAATATTCACATGTCCTCTGATCTTGCACCACTTCCTTTATTTTCTCTTTGTGGTCATGGAACCTCCATCTTCTGCAACGTAACACTTAACATGTAACACTCACAGAGAGTTCTAGGCAGTTCTTTTTCTTCTGAACTAAATTTAGTTCCCTTTCATTTCTACTCATGGCCTTAGTTCCAACATCTAGATTGGCACAATATTAGTCTATTCTCCCACATGGCCAATACTATAGAGAACTAAAGAAAGACTATTATTACAAATGTCCCTCCTACTTTCTCATCCCACTGTCTTCCTGCCTCAAACAATGGCATGATCATTTATGCAGTTCCTCAAGGCAGAAACTTTAAAGCCATCCCCCTCTCCTTCCCTTCCAGAGTTAGTCATTCTCTTCTCTGCTCCCACCTCTTTTCTAGTTTCCCTCAAAAAGTCCTGAAGCCCTCAAACTCCTCGGTCTCATGGGACCTAACACTGGCTGACATCTCTGCCCTTCTCTTCACAAGGCCCCATGTGTTTAAGATAGGTGTGCCCAGTAATTCTGTAGGAGAGTAACAGTGGGAGGAAGATTTAGGATAGTACAAGACTAAGGAGGCAATGTTGGTGTGTGCAGGATGCACGGGAGAGATAGGGCAAATATAGGAGAATGGGCAGAATTTGGCCATGGATCGATCAGCTGTGAGAGTCTGGGTAGGAGAAGGTTCCAAGCCTCAGGAAGATGGGGAGAGAAAGGCATTTTTGCACCAGGTTGGGTCAGTCTCAGTGACCACTAGAAGCTATTGACCACTAGAAGCCAGTGACCACTAGAAGCCATAGTAGGATTAGAACATGATTCTAAACCGTGAAAGTTCTAATTAGGCTTGTTAAAGTAAGTTCTCTTAGAAGCTCTCTCACCTCCCACTCTGCCTGCTCTCAGCTCAGGAGGCAGACCTAGAGAAATGGCTCA